TAGCGGGGAGGCTGTTTTGCTATGATTTCTACCTTGTTGCATTTGAACAGCTTACGTGGGTTCATTTGTAATGGCTTTTCTTTATGTATGCAGTGTGCTCTCACTCACTCAGGGTGCATGTGCATGAGCGCCCAAGATCCCAAGAGGAAAATGGAGGAGAAGGGGTCCAACTTGGCCATCCCCCCTGGGGGTGACCTCTTAGTTTCTGTCTCTCTGTTTCTCTGGCGAGTTATACACCCTATAGCAAAAATTCTTTCCCCTCACCAAAAAAATCCCCAAAAAACAAAAAACAAAACAAACAAACAGAGATAAGGAAAAGACACTGATTATCAGTTTCTAATGATACTACTGTGGAATGACTGACAGATGGACAGCAAAGGATTAATTAGGATGTCCTGCGTCTACTTATTTTACAACCTTTTCATTTTCTTTTCCAGAGTGATTTTCTGGATGCTGCTGTGCATAGTACTACCAATATATGCTTTTTCTTTCTCTCCATCTACTGGAATTCCTGCTATGTATGTTGGAATGCATATGTAGAGGATTTTACATTTGACAACATATTTTCACATACGTTGTCCTATTTAATTTTCATGATAGCCCTGTGAAAACAGCATAATTCTCCCACTTTTACTGGCTCAGAGAAGTAAAGCAATTTAAGTCACATAACTTAGAGGTGGGGGAAGCAGGAGAGTAGTCCAAGGCTTTAGAGTGCAATCCCAATGCCTTTTCCCAATTCCATGGGGAGTCCCCTGCTGCTAAGTTTGCGCCTGTTCACCCCTCTTCACATTTACCTCATGTAGTCTTTGATGTGCTTCCCTAACTTTGAAGAGGAAACAGATTTCTTTTATTTCCTTCCCTCCAACAGAATTTTCTTTTGTCTGCTACTACTTGAAGGTTGTCAAACAGTGATTGCCACTTCAAAATAGGCTTGTTACCATTTTTACGTAATAAATCTCAGTAATACTGAGGAATTCTAAATGATGACAGTCAACTATTTGGAGGTAAAGGAGAGGAATCTTTGTCTTTTTCATGGGGATTCTATGGAAGGTTTTCCCCTGTGGTTGGCTGGAGTAGCGGGGAGGCTGTTTTGCTATGATTTCTACCTTGTTGCATTTGAACAGCTTACGTGGGTTCATTTGTAATGGCTTTTCTTTATGTATGCAGTGTGCTCTGTGTGTGTGTGTGTGTGTGTGTGTGTATCCAAGTGTGTTTCATGGTAAGAGATTAAAATAAAGAATAATGGGATGATGGTTCTTTCTCTTTTTGGTGTTAACTGGAAGGCGTTTTGTTTTGGTATGTACACGCTGAGTGTGCTCATGTGTGATGTGTGTGTTTGCATGTTCATGGGTCCCCATTTATTTTCTCCAGAAATCAAAAGAAAACATTAAGAAAACTGAGCCTGATAGAAACCTGGTGAACATGAGATAAGGCAGAGCTGTGACTCTCCCTGCCGCAGTGCCAGGTCTAATCCTGTTACCACCTCCACAGACGTGAAATTGGACTGGTGCCGCGCTCGAGGGCAGCTCAGCAGCAGCAGCAGCCAGGGCAGTTCTGCCCAAGTCCAGCTAGAACTGACACCGCCGGTGCCTGCCTCCACATTGCCTTAGGAGAGACAACAACACGCCAAGCACAGATTTTCCACTGCCATGTGCACAACAGCCTCTGTATGTCAGTCTTAACACATGCACTTGTCTGATTAAACACAGAACAGCCGAGTCATCCCCATTTTTCCTAGTTTTTTTTCTTTTTAAATATTGTCATTTAAAAAATAGCTACATTTGCTATATAAATAAACATAAATTCATTATATGTGTGTGTGTATATATATAATATATATGTGTGTTTATGTATATATATTATATAGTATATATATTCTTAATGCTTCTATAACTCTCTTAAATTATTTTTTTACCATTCAGAATTTGAATACTTTTATTTCAAAGACTTAAATTTACTGTAAACTTAAAGCTGAAATAGCTTATAAAACCATCCCTAGGGAGTTAAAAACTGGCAAAATCACTTAATTGAATGTGCCTCTCTACTAAGAGTTTGTGTGGTTTGAAAAAATCTAAAATTTACCCAACTATAGGAATACTGTCTTTTGGAAGTATGCTCACTTTCAAACCAAGAGTTACTCTAGTCTCAGATCTGGTAGTTCATTGTGCCTGCTCCCTCTTTGTCCTCTCCCTGAAGTGCCCTTCTCCAGTCTCAGCATTCTTTCCTGTGAAATCCCTTGTGCCCTTTAAGACTGAACTCGGATGCCAGAGGTTTTCATACAATGGTGTCTTAGTTAACTTGGGCTGCTATAACCAAGTACCATAGACCGGGTGACTTATCAACAACAGAAATATATCTCTTAGAGCCCTTGATGCTGGGAGCCTGAGATCAAGGTGCAGGCATGATTGGATTCAGGGGAGAGCCCTCTTCTTGGTTGCAGATAACCTACTTTTTGCTGTGTATTCTCACTTAATAAAGACAGGGTGAGAGAATTCTCAGGATCCTCTTTCATAAGGGCACTGATCCCATTCCTGAGCTTTCCTCCATGACCTAATCACTTCCCACAGCACATACTTCCTGATTCATCACCTTGGGGGTGAGGATTTCAGTATGTGAACTTTGAAGGGAAACAACATTCAGTCCACTGTATACAATCAATTAGTACAAGCAAAGGCAAATTTCACCCTCATCTAGGCACCCTTGGTACTCTGTGCTCTGTTCTAAAGTGTGTGCATTCTGCAAAAGGTTGGACAACCAGCTGCTCTGAGGGAGAGAAAACTACAGAAGGGCAGGGCCTGGGTTATCTTTTTGGTCCTGCTCCCATGCCTCATGCTTCTCTGTTAGCACCCCATCCGAAGTACAGACAGTGACAGTGAAGGGAAAATATTCACCTGTTGCATTAAAATTCTGCCCATTCTTCAAGAGTTTTATTCATGAAGCTTTTCTTAATCCCCTCAAGCTGACAGTTCTGTCCTCCCGAAAGTCATGGATGTGGTGCATGCTACTCTTCACCTTGCATCTATCTTCTTCCTTGTCATCTTTCCTTTTTCTTTCTTTCTTTTTTTTTTTTTTGAGAGATTTTTGCAATAAGGAGCATGTGCTCACCAAAAAGACAGAGAGAGACAGAGAGATAGAAAGTGAGAAATCACCCCCCCCCCCAAGGGGATGGCCATGCCGCAATCCCTTCTCTTCCATTCTCCTCTCAGGATCTCGGCCACCCATGCACACACGCCCGGAGAGAGTTTAAGCCACCGGGTCCAGGACTCAAACCGCAGTCGACTACATGGGAGTCCAGCGACATAGCCATTACGCTAACTGCTGGTTCCTTCCTTGTTATATTTCCTTGGAAAATGTAAGCTCTTTCATTTGCAGGTGTAAGCTCCACAGTTAACTGAATTTATGTTTTTCATAGGGCCTTGTGTATATAGTTGACTCTCGGACAACATGGGTTTGAACTGTGTAGGTCCTCTTATTTGCAGATTTGCTTTTTCAATAAATACTACAAATATATTTTCTTTTCTTTATGGTTTTCTTAACATTTTTTCCTATAGCTCATTTTACTGCAATAATATAGTATATAATACATGTAGCGTGCACAATATGTGTTGATTGACTATGCTATTGATAAGAATTCTGGATGGCAATAGACTATTAGTAGCTAAGTTCTGGGGGAGTCAAAAGTTATGCATGGATTTTCAACTGCACAGAGGATCAGCACCCTTCACTTTCACATTGTTCAAGGGTTAAATATATTAGGTCCTAGATATGTAGTTGTGCATTAAAAAGTGTTTCATGAGTGTGAAATATATTGAAACAACTATAAAACATATTTTAATTTTGGAATAAAAGTATCAATGTTGGTCAACACTTATCATTGGCCCTTAAGTTTTCTTAACAGTTCATCAATTTCAAATTTTTTTCAAGTTATCACTTCAATTTTGGATTTAGACAATTCTACAACTTGTCTTAGGGTTTCTTATGAATCACTTTCTGCAAAATATAGAATTTAGATGTCGAGTATTATGTGCTTTCAGTAAATTAGAATGGATCCCAGTTGTAGAGCTAACATTTAAATATCACACACACACACACACACACACACATACACACAAGTATACACCATTTAAATTCACTTTTAAATCTAATCTTCTTAATATCTGATATGGTAGAGATCTTTTCAAACTATCCATAGTAGGAGTAAAACTTTAAAAAATAGAAGAGGAAGGCTTGCAGTCAAGAGAAATCACAATTCACAGTTTATCCAAAAGAAAATTATGTAAAGAAGCATATAAGCCAGTCATTGTAAACTAGATGCACACTCATTTGTTATTAAGCAGGACTCAGTAAATGTTAGTCCACTTTACAC